CATATACCGCCCAAATGGCAAGAAATAAACCATTAAATACCAAAACCTCCGACAATGATATACAACATATAAATAACAACATCCTAGGAACCGGTGTCACGAATCTGAGCCTCTAAGACATAGATCAAGTATGGTACAAAAGGGGTCCATAAATAGTAAGTACACTGGAATACAAAAGTAAGGACATAAAGAAAGAGAGTCGATGGCTGCGGACGCCGTGCAGCTACCTCAACACTCCTGACTGGTACTGGCTGTCCTCCAAATATCTACTGTGCCTGGGAATGTCCTGGATCTGCACACAAGGTACAGGGAGTAATGAGTGAGTCTACCAACTCAGTGAGTAATAAGGGTATATAAAACCCGAAAGAAGGAAACATAGTAAAACACAATGTAAGGCTATCCAGCAATCCTGCACAGTACCATTCCCAGAACTATCCATGCAAATCAACTGAAAGTAATGTCATATAATGACCCGTAGTATATATAACTCTACGCCATAACATACAGTGTCCATAGTTACCACTGTTTTACATTAGAATACACGGTGTCAATAGTTACCACCGTCTTACATTAGAATACACGGTGTCAATAGTTACCACCGTTTTCATTATGATATGCAGTGTCAATAGTTACCACTGCTTGCATTTACAATATCCGGTGTCCATAGTTACCACCGTTTCATTTATGATAGGCAGTGTCAATAGTTACCACTGCTTCCATTATAGCATACGGTGCCTATAGTTACCACCGTTCCATTTAAGAATTTCATGTCATAATATTGCAAATAAACGTATTCCTGAAGGATTACCATTCGGCGTAAGGCCCCAAGTATGGCTTCAAGCCTACAACCATCCCTACGGGATTATACATATCGGCACGTGGCCCCAGACATGGCATTAAGCCCACATGTCATCAATACAAACAACAAGTAAAGCGCTAACCACAATATAGGTTGCTTCGCGGATTAAAACGAATTTCATTTCACAACATTATTGACCCCGCACTACCATGGAGTACGTGTCCAACTCACAATAGCTTCACAATGTGATAATACGAGGTTTCATACCCTCGGATAAGATATACGCCCATTACTCACCTCGAAATGGCCGAAGAACTAGCCCGCAATGCCTTTTCCTTTAGAATTTCCTCCAACGAGTGCCGAATCTGCCCAAAATCACGTCGAATATGTTACAAGATGTTAATGGGACACAACCCAATAGAAAGGACTCGAAAAATAACACAATCCTCGAAATTCGTAAAAACCGAGCCCCGGGCCCACGTCTCGAAATCCAGAAATTTTTACATCATTACGACCCTCGACTCGCCCCGAGTCTATACATACCAATTTCATCAAAATCGGGGTCCATTTGACCCCTCAAATCCACATTTTTCATAATATTTCTCAAGCCCTAGATTTTTGATATTTCTACCAATTTTCAGGAATTTAAAGGATAATTCTTCGATAAAATGACGTATTAACAACTCGGGACTTACCTCCAATCGATCCCCGATGATTTCCCTCTGTTTTCCCCTTCACTTGAAGCTTAGAACCGTCTAAAATGGTGGAAATGGGAGTGGGCTTCGCGGACCAAATAAGGGACTTAAAACATTCTGCCCAGGTCCGTTGCCTTACGCGATCGCATCACCTCGCCTGCGATCGCGTAGGCTTAGCAGAGCTGCCCCACGATTCCCTCTTACGCGATCGCAGGCTTAGCCACGCGATCGCAGAATACACAGAACCACACTCACGCGATCGCAGGCCTCCCCCACGCGATCGCAGGACTCCAGCGTTTGACCCTACGCGATCGCAGACCAGCTCCACGCGATCGCAGAGAACAACTGATCCATAGCCACGCGATCGCATCCTTGGCCACGCGATCGCGATGGCCAAATTTCTGCTGCACTGACTGCTGCAATTCAGCAGCAGTTTTCCAACTCCAACGTGCCCGTTGGGCATCCGAATTCAACCCGAGGCCCTCGGGACCTCAACCAACAACACACACTCACCCCATAACATCATTCAAACTTGCTCGGGCCATAAAAACGCTACCTTAAACACCAAAAATCATAGAAATTCAATGAATTCAATTCGAATTAAACTTAAACTTTCAAAATACAAACTCGATCAAAAACTCGGCTTAGACATCTCCGAATTGACTGAAAATTTGCACACAAGTCCGAAATCACCTAACGGAGCTAGTGCAACTGTCGGAATTCCATTCCGACCCCCGGATCAAATTTCGACCTATCAACCGGAATCTTCCAAAATTCCAACTTCGGCAAACCTATCTAATTTTCACTCCGGACCTCCGAATTCACTTCCGATTTCGCACACAAGTCACAAATCATCCCCCGGAACTAGTCGAGCCATCGGAAATCCGTTCCGAGCTCTCTAACCCGAAAGTCAACTTTGGGTCAACTCTTTCAATTTAAACCTTCCTTAAAGAGACTAAGTGTCTCATTTCTATCCAAATTTCACCCGAACCATCCCACACTCATCCAACACGGATATCAACACACGGGGAAGCATATTACGGGGGTAACGGGACTGAAATGAAATAAATGACGGGTCGGGTCATTACATCATAAACACAGTAAGCTTGTGAATTTCTACAACTTTTTTTATGAAATATCACTGCATAATCAAATAGATTAAACCAACCACAAACAAATTTCAACTTTCACAGACTAAAAATCTATCAAAATCAGAATCAGACTACATATACGACACTGAATCAACATAATATGCTCAATTTTGAAATATCAAACAAACTTCACAAGGCATTGCACAAACTTACACATAAATTAAAACGACAATGCATAAAAGAAAAAAAAAAGTTACCAGCAACGATTGACAGAAGAAGACGATGTAGATGACGGAGAAGATGAAGGAGAAGATGAAGGAACAAAACTTTAACTGAATATCGCAGAGAAGATAAAGAAGCAGAGAAGAGAAACTCTGTAACCGCTCTCGAAGGAATAAAATAAGGGTTTCTGACAATTTTGGGATTATAATCGATATATAGAAAGGGTATTTATGTCTTTTCGGCCTTAGCAGTGGCTATATTTGATAAGCATTTTAATTAGTGGATAAAAAGTAAATACATCATTCAACAGTGGCTACTACACGCCATTTTTACAACTTTCGTCCATAAGTGAGAGGTGTCTTTTTCTCCTTGTGATGATGAATGTATATTTAGATTCGGTTGTTTTTATTATATATTATAGCCGGTTTGGCCAAGGTTCTCCACTCCTAAAAGTATTTTTTTTATTTTTAAAAAGTACTTTTTTCAAAGTTCAAATGTTTGATCAAGCTTTTGGAAGGAAAAAAAAAAAGTGCTTTTGAGGAGAAGCAGAAAAAAATAGCTTATATTCAAAAGCACTTTTGAGAAAAATACATTTGGTAGCAGTTTTTAAAAGCACGGCCAAACACTAATTGCTGCTTAGAAGTGCTTTTCAAATTAATTAACCAAACACAAATTGTTTCTCATCAAAAGTACTTTTGAAAAAACACTTGTCAAAATAATTTGATTTTTGCAGCTTGACCAAACATGCTATTAATACGTGCATTGTTTGTTTTTGGATATTGGTTCTAACTTTTTTTTTCCTTTTCTCCATCAATATATAGCTGACGACTAGCTAATACAGGCATAGAATGATAGATAACTAATATGTTTTAGACCACAAGAGAGAAAACAGCAAATAAATAATAGAGTCTGTTAATTACGTACACAGTAAGGCCTCTACTAATACCTTAATTCAAATTAGCAATGCAATTTGAAATTTGGGTTGCTGTATTTTATATTGAAGGAAACATCACTGTGAAAACAACCTAGCTACAAACTCTCATTCATTCATAAACTGATGATGAAAATTAATTCTCAAATGAAACATTACTAGAAATTAATTGTCAAGGAGACTATCCTCATATTTTCACGGAGTCAACAAGCAACGAGGTGATTTTGTCTTTATATTCGCCTTGAGTATTTATAAAATCACTCTCCTGGAAACCAATTACTAGTCGTGTAGGATTTATAACTCGTTCGAGGACAAACGTTGGTACTTGAGAAGGGCGGAGGAATTCCGTGTTTATGTCTTTCCATGCATTAGCCATTTCCTTGTCAACCGCAGCATATGCCTCTTGCTTTGAAGCTCCATATTCTTTCATGTAGCATTCAATGAATGAAGCTACATGTCCTCTTTGTTGCTCAAACTGCACCCAATAGATAGATTTCATTATGTTCAGTGTACAACTATTATATTTACACTTCTTTTTCAGCTTAAATAACCTATTTAAATGTAATAATATTACAACTCTGAGTATGTTTGATTCATTCAGATCTTGTTCAGAGCCTTAGAATTATATATTAAGATGTTGTTCATTTATATTCATGTGAATTTGATATTTTACCACTATTTATTTATCTACCAACCACTATAGCATAATCACCATCACCAATCTTCAGTGACGATGTCAGAAATTTTTCTAAGGGTGCTCACATTTAAAAGAAAAAAAAATTCTCAATAAAAGGTATTCAATATACGTTAATATATTTAAAATCTAATAATTTACTTACATACACACTGTAATAATATTTTATAATATTTTCACGAAGAGTGGTTAGTTTGCAAACTGTGGCTTCACCCCTGCGAGCCTCCACCCACAACCAACATTGCCAGACCACTAACCACCACACAACATAACCAACACCATCAATCTCCTCCAGTGCCAACTACCATCACCACTCCCCCTATTGTCGATAGAGCAATTATCTCCATCAACCACCATCAGCTACCATGCACCTTTACTGTCAGCCACCACCACCCCACACGTATCACCGCCATTTAAACATGTATTCAGATTCAAACACGCATCTTATCTTTAAGGAGAAAAAAAGAGGCCTAAATATATTTAAATTAATTTGTAGTACTTACATTGTGTCCAATGATGTCATCCTTTAATCTGCGTATTACTCCTGAAGCTCGAAGAATCAAAGGATCATTTATCACCCATTCTAAAGTTTCTTTGGTTATAAGTTCCTCCAAACCAACCAAAGAAGTTACTGTCATCAACATAATGCCAATGCTTGCACTTCCATTTTCCAAATACTCGTCACATTTTGGAATATAGCCGGCATTCAACCATTGGGCTTCCTTCAAATAGGCTCTGATACACTTTTTCATCTAAGAAGAAATAATAATCCAAAAAGTTAGCCCTAAATGCTTTCTTCCTTTACAACTTTTTTTTTATTCCTTGTAAATTATTTTCAAAGATTAATGAGTGTGAGTTATTAAGTAAGCTTACCACAAATTTTGCATAGTAGACACGGTCTGCTTTACCTTCTTTTGCCAATTCTTGTTCCATTTCATTGAAAAAGTCTATTAAGACTTGATAAGCAAGTCTCAAATTGGGCGGTACTGAATCCATGGAACTAACGTCGCATCTGCACATTAAGGTTTTATCAAAATGGCTAGTTAATTTTTACGACAACATATCATTTATGAATAATAACATGTATATATACACTTCATCTATTTTATTTTATGGGATACCATTATTATTAAGACGATTAAAAAAGAATTTTTTTTGGACCATGATTGTTTCGAATCACTAAGGGTGTAAAATGGGCGGGTTGAGCCGATTTTGGGCCGGTCAAAATAGGTTGAATCATAAATGGGTGGATAATTGACTCGCTCAAAAAATTGAGAGAACTTCACTGATAGCCCTTCGGGCAAAACAAATTGCATCGGATAGCCCAGAAATTAACCCATACAAATCATAGCCTAAAATTATTGACAAGGGCTAGCCGGAAACTTTGTCCAGCCATCCAAGAGCATGACTGCTCGGTTCCTCTCAATCAAAGCCCAAATCAGCATTTTTAACTTAAAAATTAGAGAGATTTTTACATATTTATACTGTACTTTTGAATTTATTTATCTTCAATATATAAGTTTTAACTTAATTATAAATTGATATAAAATTTATTAATTACATACAAAATAATGTCTTAAAATCTTATCTTCCCTATTTTCTTTCCGTCGTCTTCCTCATCCAACCTTGAAGCTTAAGCTATGTGGACCTGTAGTACCAATCTAGAAGCTTGGTACGTACAAAGTCTAGGCTCATATGAATAATATGATAGTTCAAATAAAAACCACTTGAACGATACTGAGCATCTGTTTGCTTGTTAATGAAAGTTTCTTTTTCGAAACTTTTAAATTTAGAACGTAATTGATTTTATAAAATTTAATTGATAACCATTAAAAAGTTTTGTAGCTTTAAATTCAAAAATTGAATTTTATAAAATATTTATTTGTATGGATTGAGTATTGTTGAAAATAATTGACAATATCCTTTTGAAGCTTATATCTCAATTTTGAGAGAATTTGGTAAAGATTCGATGTATTTTTGGTTGAAATTTTCGATTGAAACTCCAAAAAAAAAGACATAAATAAATTATATATATTTTATTTCATTCTGTAAAATCTCTCTAATTTTTAACTTAAAACTTCGTTAGAACTATTTTTAAGTGTGGAGAGCTGTGGAATTTGTTATAAAGAGCTGTGGAACTCTACAAAATATACTGTTATTATACTAATATTATGCACAATAGACTGTCACTATACAATTTATATACAATAGACTGTCATTATAAAAAATATATACAAAATAAATTGTTACTATTCAAAATAGACTATCACTATACAAACAATATACTAAATAGACTGTCATTATAAAAAATATATACAAAATAAATTGTTACTATTCAAAATAGACTATCACTATACAAACAATATACTAAATAGACTGTTACTATACAAAATATATACTAAATAGACCGTCGTTATACAAACTATATACTAAATAGACTGTCATTATACAAAACAGATTTCCACTATACAAATATAGATGTTACTATACAAAATATATACAAAAAAGACTGTCACTATACAAAAATACATGATACACTCCAAAATATTAGAAAATACACATCATATACAATTTTGATATATTGTTTAGACAGATTATACATTCATGATACAAAATATATTTGGGGTACACAAATATATACACTTTAGATATACAAGCACAGTTGAGATAGGCTCAATATACACCAATGATACTGTCACGACCCTAGTTCACCGTTGGTGAACACGTCATGACGGCACCTGACCGGCGAGGCCAGATAAGCCTTAAACATTGCGGGAAAAACATTTAACATAAGAAAAAGATAAGGAAAATCTCTTAAATAAGTAAAATGTAACGGGTGCCGCTTGGCACATACACTTCACATATAAACTTCCCGAAAACCATCCCAAAACCCGGAAACTCACGGGCAGCACAGGCTAAGAATTTCCAAACATGACAAGCTCTAACATCTGGAATGTCTAATACAAGAGAAACAGGATGTCATCTATCTAACTACCGATAGAATAGAAGGAGAACTCGTCGGATCTGCGGACGCGGCAGATTCATACCTCAAGTCCTCCTGAAAAGCAGCTCCGGACTCACTGCTGGAAAGCCGAACCCGAAGTACCTAGATCTGCACCACAAAAAGTGTGCAGAAGAGTAGTATGAGTACACCACAGCAGTGCTCAGTAAGTGCCAAGCCTAACCTCGGTTGGGTAGTGACGAGGAAGGTCGAGGCCCTACTGAGAGTAAACAGTACTGAATGTAAGTATACAGCTGAAACAATTAATTAAGCAGGAGAAAATACAACAATGATAGAAGGTGCACAGAAGGATATCAATAAATTACAAGTACTCAAAAGATCTTCCGGAATACCTTTCCGTGGTTCATTTCAGTCATCCTTTATATAAATCTGTACGAGGATCTCCCGGGAATCTAACCCGTAGTCCATCGTATAATATATGTGAAGGGTCTCCCAGGATACCGTTCTGTAGCCCTTTGTATCAATCTGTACTGGGGAAATCTACCGGCTGCATTGCCGTAGTCCCATATAATAGTGCAGGGGGATCTACCGGGAATCAAACCCGTAGTCCCAAAATAAACCAAACAAGGGGAAACTCCCGGAATCCCACATCCGTAGTCCCAATTTAAATGCACAAACATAGTCAATTATAACGGAAATTGAGCATGAATTAACAATAATGGGGAAATTAGTCTAACATGCTTCACATACTTTACCGAGAGCAAATAAGCAACTAAAACAGTTAATTATGCCTAATCACGCTTCCCTAACTATCACAGGCTGATCTGGTATTTTTATAAGAGTCAAATAAGCGAGAGGACACAGTATGAGAATTTCAAGTAAGGTGAATTTCAACAATTAGCACAAGTGTACGCCCGTCACCTCGCACACAAGGCGTTTAAACCAAAAGCAAACAATCCTAGGGGTAAAGGTCCCCCACACAAGGTTAGACAAGTCACTTACCTCGAACCGGTACCAAAAATCAATAGGAAGCAAAGCCCTTGCCACGAGTATCCAACTCCGAATGGCCCGAATCTATTCAAACCAGATACAATGTATAAATAACAATGCAATTAACTAATTACGCTGATAAAATTGAAGCTACGACGCGAAATTAGGTAAAATGACCAAAACGCCCCTCAGGCCAACGTCTCGGAATCAGAATATTTTTACATTTTCGGAAACCTCGCGCTCTCACGAGTCTAACCATATAAAATTTATCAAAATCGGAGGTCAAATGGTCCCTCAAATCATCAAACTTAGGTCTAAGAACTTAACCCCAATTTCATGGCAAAATCCGAAATTAAAGTTTGAATTCGAGTTTATATTAGTGGGTAATGATCAAAATAGAGTAAGGAATCGTTACCCGATGTTTGCCTCTGAAAACCCCTCGAGAAATCACCCCAAACCGAGCTCCCTAGCTTGAGTTTTTGTAAAAAAGGAGGAAAGTTCGTGTTTTGGAAAATATAAACTGTTACAGGGATTCAGTGCATCGCGAACGCGGCCTGACCACGCGTTCGCGTAGAAGAAACTTTAAGTGGCCAGATTTTACCCTTCGCGATCGCGAAGGGTCCATGCGAACGCGAAGGCTTGGATGCCTGGAAACTATGCGAACGCGACGATGGTATGCGATCGCGAAGAGGAGCGGAAAAGGGGGGTCAGGGCTTGAACTACGCGAATGCGTAAAGGGAACGCGAACGCGGAAAAGGGGGCTGGTAGCACTACGCGAACGCGGAGGTCCTACGCGGACGCGATGAACGCTGGGGAGCAAAACTACGCGAACGCGGAGTGACATCGCGAACGCGCAGAAGGATTTCTTTCTGCAATTTTTCTGCTGCAATATCTAAGTTCCAACTTCTCCGTCGAACATCCGAAACACCCCTGAGGCCCCCGGGACCTCAACCAAACTTATGAACATATCCCATAACATCGTTTGGATTTATTCCAATCCTTAAACCACCCAAAACAACGCCGGAAACACGAATTAATCATTGACTTGAACTTAAAATTTCAAAACTTAACAAAAATCATTTTCGATCAAAAACCTATCCAAAACATGTCCGATTGATCTGAAATTTTGCACGCACGTCCCAAATGACATGACGGTGCTACAGGAATTTCCGGAACTTCATTCCGACCCTCGGATCAAAAATTCACTATCGGACCGGATATTCCAAATTTCCAACTTTCGGCATTTCTAGGCTAATTGAGCTACGGACATCCAAAATACAATCCGGACACGCTCCCCACCCCAAAATCACCTAACGGAGCTAACGGAACCATCAGATTTCCATTCCGAGGTCGTCTTGGCGCTGTTCCGACAATGGACCATTTTCCAACACTTAAGCTCTCAAATAAGGACTATTTGTCCGAAA